CGCCAATATCATGGTGACGTTTTCATTGAGATGGATGTGGATCAGTTTGTATCAGATCACCCCTACACCTGGAGCGTTTCTCGGCTGTTGGAGGCGCTCCAAAATATTAGAGTCTTACATAGTGCCCTGTCTGTTCTCTCTTACTGTGTCATGTCTGGCGTCGACAAGGATTGTTTTGAAGAGTTGAATCATGTATAGTGGGGTAGCTCGCTTTACCTACAGCAGATCTCTCTCAGGTAGAGTGCGACTGTGTGACGAAGCTGTTGTTTACTATGTTTAGAAGTGAGCAGGGGACAAAAAAGCTCACCCTTGTCAAAGAGAGATCGTGATACGGAATCTCCAATCAACAAAAGAACGATGACAAGCCTTTCTTTCTTTCAGTCAAGATGCGCATGATTGTTTCCTCATCAACTCAACCGACTAACGCATGTACTCAGCTCCAAGCTTGGCCATTTGTCATCCCTTGCTCGCCGCTCACATAAGAGTACCAAGGCAGTGAGGCACACGACCAAATTCCTCCTCCCTGTTTTGAACAAACCCCAATATTCTTGGCGTCGTGTCACCCAACATCCATGGTGATCCAGAATCTTGTCTGCTTGTCCTGTGAATATTGGATCAACTCCTGCGTATTACGTCGGTTACGCCGAGTCGTAATTGGGGCGTACTTGGGAAAACTTTGCAGCCTTATTTGTGCAACTAGGCACGAGAGTTCCGATTCAAAGAGACCAGACTGCCAGATTTCCCCTGGCTAAGATCATGATGGTCTGGCGCCTTCATACCAGTTCCCTTCGGATGATGGATCACACCTCAAAAGCCAGATGCTATCCCCGGAATTCCAGTCCAGCCATCTCCCCGCTAGTGGTGTCCTATGCGCCTTGGCTTACCCGCGCTGTATGCAAGAGGGCTAGTGCCAAGATTATCTGCAAATCAGTTGGCCATGCCCCGTTGTTCGTCGGCAGGCAGATGACAAAATAAATCGTACACTATGATCCGTGATGAAACATGACTTTCCAGCTGTCTAGGAAGGCCACGAAGTTGCATGAACCGAGCTCTGATAGCTTCAAAGGTCCAATCAGATATTTAGAGGTGTTTTTCGTAATTCAATGACTTGCAGAAAGTCTAAAAGCTAAAATCAACATCCAGTAACAACCTAGAATAATTACTTCAACCACACACCGAAAATACTGCCCCACTCCACCGCCAAAAATTGTAAATTTTTGGACATGGCTGCAGTATCACGTAGAGCAGCCTCAATCGCAGAGCGCAAGCGGGCATCTTTGAGGTAATCTCTGTCGCTACTTGTACCAGGCGCTGCATCTCACAAAATTACAATGCCTCATAAGGATGCTGACCACCCCGTGGTCAAGCGCCAGAAGACTGCGGCGCCCGCCAGTGCTTCAAAAGCTGCTTCAGACTCGTCGAGAATCTTCGCGCCCTTCCGTGTATGTCCATTCGACTGAGAGTTGTGCTCCAATAGCTAATTTTTATGCCTCAGACTGTCGGTCTAGTATCACCTACGAGTGTCCCCTTCACATCGATCCCTCTCGGAAAGACCACCTTTCAAATCTCAACCTCAGTTGGCCGATCTATTCAGACCTACGATCTTCGTCGCGGATTGAACCTCGTCTTCATCACTCGCCCGCAAACCCCCGCCGACATCACCGCGACTCTCGCCTGGAAGGAAAAGATTTTCGCGGCATGGGGCGGATCAAAGAAAGGCGAATCTCAAGGTATCTGGGTGTTCCAGAGGAGCAAGAAGGTCGATGAGCTTGCGCTGCCCTCAGACCTCGACGAGCCTGTCAAGCAAATTCTTATCCTGGGAATATGGACTATCGTCGCTGCTACTACGCGAATCGAGGTTTTCAAGACGGCCACCCTGGAGCACTACACCACTATTCACACTACGCCTGCTAACAACCGTGGCAACGAAATAACTGGCGGCATTGTTTCTATGCCAACTTTCCTCAACAAGATTTTCGTGGGTCGCAAAGATGGCTGGGTCGAGATCTGGAACGTCAGCACCGGCAAGCTCATTTACACTATTCTTCCTCCGGCTCCCGACTGCGGTTCTGTAACATGCCTGGAACCTAGCCCTGCTCTGTCTCTTCTGGCTATCGCCTATTCTGAAGGCACTCTCATCATCACAAATGTTCTAACCGATAAGGTCACTCTTCGCATCGAGGCTGGAAGCTCAGAGGCGCAGGTCAACTCAATTTCTTTCCGGACTGATGGTATGGGAGCGGGTAATGATGGACGAAAGGATGGCGTTATGGCTACGGCGACAGCTGCTACTGGAGATGTCACATTTTGGGATTTGAATGGTGGTGGTCGTGTTATGGGTGTCTTGCGAAGCGCTCATAACCCTCCTTCTTACGATGGACCGCTTGTCCGTGGTGGGATTAGCAAGATTGAGTTTCTCCCTGGACAACCAGTGGTGGTGACCAGCGGTCGCGATAACTCTCTCAAGTCCTGGATCTTCGATGAGACACCTTTCTCTCCTATCCCTCGAATTCTCCACTCACGCAGCGGCCATGCTGGTCCTGTCAACTGCCTCGAATTCCTTCCTACCGACTTTGAGGGTGCCGATGCCGGTAACAAGTGGTTGCTCAGTGGTGGACAAGATCGAAGCCTCTGGGGATGGAGTCTGCGCCGTGATGGTCAGAGCACAGAGTTGAGTCAGGGTAACATTCGCAAGAAGGCCAAGAAGATTGGCATTCTAGCCACAAACGCTCTATCACATGGACCTACAACAACCCTGGAGGACCTCAAGGCCCCTGAGATTACTTGTATGGCATCCTCATTGAACCGAGATGGTGGCATTGGTGCTATGCCCGGCAACCAGCCTATATGGCAAAAGTCTCGAGACAAGAAGAAGGCCCAGGATGCTGAGGTCAGTGGTATGACTGGTTGGGAGAGTGTCGTCACCGCTCACAAGAACGATCCTTATGCCAGGACATGGTTCTGGGGCCGAAAGCGAGCTGGTAGATGGGCTTTCCCTACCGGAGATGAGACCAACGTTTCTACCGTTGCTATCAGCCCCTGTGGTACCTTTGCGCTTGTTGGTGCTGAATCTGGTGGTATTGATATGTACAACCTTCAGTCAGGAAACCATCGCCAACGATTCCCTTCAAGATTGACACCGGGTCAAGCTCGTCAGCTCAAGATGCAGCAACTACGGCAGGCGGACGATATCGTACAAATGCATGCCGAGGCTACTCGCCAGTTCCCCGTTGGCACCGGGAAGCATACTAAGCGTATTACTGGCCTTGTTGTCGATTCCATGAACAAGAACGTGGTGTCTTGTTCTCTGGATGGCAAGATCAAATTCTGGGACTTCTTGACTGGAAACCTATTAGAGCAGATTGACTGGGCACCCATGACATTCCCAACCGGATGCAGATACCACCCCGCGAGCAATCTCCTTGCTTTCTCATGCGACGATCTGTCAATTCGAGTGGTGGATATGGAGACAAAGAGAACTATTCGTGAGTTCTGGGGACCTCAAGGTGCTATCAACGATTTCTGCTTCTCTAACGATGGACGATGGATCATCGCTGCTTCCCAAGATTCTGTCATTCGTGTATGGGATCTTCCCACGAGTCACTTGATCGATGCTATTAGACTCGAGAAGCCTTGTAAGGCACTGGCAATGTCTGTTACTGGCGAATACTTGGCTGCAACAATCGAGAACGAGTTGGGAGTAACGCTCTGGACCAACAAAGCCCTGTTCAAGCATGTTCCCACACGCCAAATCTCCGAGAAGGAGATTGGTCAAGTCTCTGCTCCTACAGTATCCGGCGAGAACAGCCATGGTATGCTGGAGGGTGCGTTTGAGGAGGAGCAAGCTGAGGACGAGGACACTGTGGTGGCACCAACAATTGAACAGCTCAGCTCTGAGCTCACAACACTGTCATTGGTTCCCAAGAGCCGTTGGCAAACATTGCTGCACCTGGATCTTATCAAGGAGCGAAATAAGCCCACCGAGGCCCCCAAGGCCCCTGAGAAGGCACCCTTCTTCTTGCCTTCGACGACAGGAAAGGAGAACCCTATGGCTTCTAAGCTCCAGGGTGAGAGTGAGGCAGAGAGCAGCTCTCGCATCACAAGAGTCGAGAAGGCTCGTTTTGAGGAGGTTCTCAGCACCAAGCTCCGTGCTGGAGCAGAGACCGGAAGTTGTAAGTCGCATTTCTCCCACATTACAATTTATGTATACTAACGCATCACAGATGATGAATTCATTGAGCATCTCAAGTCCCTCTCCCCTTCAAGCGCAGATCTCGAACTTCGCTCGCTTTCTATCGGCGATGGCGATGAGGACTCGAATGAACTGTTACACTTTATCCGCGCTTTGACGGCTCGTCTCAAGACTCGTCGAGACTATGAGCTTACTCAGGCGTGGATGACCGTGTTTCTGCGATTACACTTTGATCTGGTGATGGAGAACCAGGATCTGTTGGCGGCGTTGAGCGAGTGGAAGTCATATCAAGAGAAGGAGTGCAACCGGTTGGACGGACTGGTTGGATACTGCAGTGGTGTGGTTAGCTTCCTGAGAAGTCCAAGGACGTAAGAAGCATGAAATAGTATCTTGTTGATGTTGAAATAATGGCGTTTGATTTCATGGCATGAGGAAGCATCAGGTATACTAGACAATAGAATATTCGATCCCGACGTCCTTATAATAATGTCTCTTTGCTAATGGTTCATCTCTTCAAATCGTTATTCACTGATTCTCGTGAACCTCGTCTGCAATCCCATTGAAACGAGCCACTCTTCTCTTCATTCTCTCCTCCCGTCTCCAATTTATAGAAATACAGGGCTTTCTACTCCCCCTCTTGCCGCTTTGATTTTTCAAGCAATTCATCCTATACGTCCTGGTTCACCGCGTTTGTTGCGCGTTCACGCTGTCATTCGTATTATGATCGAATGGTCGTCGCGGAAGCTTATGCGCCTGTGTTTGAAGAGGCAACCGCAGGGGTTGATCCCGGTTGGTTGGCGTCGGCATTCTAGACCTGCTCGGCGCCCCAGCCGGCATCTTCGGCCTCGCGCATGTTGCTGGGGGGCTCGATGGAGGGGATGAACTCGAGGGCGATGTAGCCGAGACCGACGATACCGATGATGCTACCAGCAATCTTGCTGAGGATGAAGTTGCCCAACAGAAGGCAGCCAATGAAGACGTAGACTTGGGAGTGTCAGTGGTGTACCAGAGTGGGCTTGTCCTAGGTATTACTTACAGACACCACGGCCGATGAAAGAGAACATGAACGAGGCATGTCGGGAGACCTGGGGAGGGATCTGAAACTCTGCGATCTGTTAGGCTTGGCGCATGGGAGGTTCGGTCAGTGTCGCAACGTACCGAGCAGAGCAATGACGAGACCAAAGACGATCATGTAAGCGCCGACAACAATGGGTTGACTACAAAGCCATTGTCAGTATCCGTGCTGTCGAGGTGTCGGCGCAGATTGGTTTGTACGTACAGGCCGAGATGGAAGATGGACGCGATACCACCGAGGACGGTGATAACACCAACAGCCAAGTTGACAATGCGGCTACAGTTGAAGGCGATGGTTAGCGACTTATTCTGGTGAAGATACTTATAGTGCAACGTAGCTAGCTAGGTACTCACAAGATGTCAGAGAGCTCCATGATGTTTGATTTAGGATGGATTTGAGGACTGCGCCGTAGAGAATCGAGGTAGTATCGAGTTTAATACTGAAAAGTATCGCGTAGGCAGCAGTTTAAGGGCAGTCGCGTCAAAAGGCAGACGAATTGTGATGGGAGGCGTATGTAAGTGTTGCAAGGTGACGAAGACGGACGGAGACGGGAGGTGAAAAAGCACAAGGAGCAAGATTACGTAGGTAGCCCCGAGTTTGAAGCTAACGACAGGCTACGCCTCAAAGCCCCCCAGAACGGGACCAACCTAAGCTTCAAGTTTTGGGGCTTGAGGGGGTCTTGGAATTCTTTTACGGGGGGTTCAACCAATGAGAATGCAGAGGCTGATGATCAGGAGTTGGTAGTGGAGTTGAAGCTTGGTTTTGGCGAATGACATCAAAGCGTTTCCAAAAACAGCAGAGAAAGCTCAAAATCAACCTCAAAAGACGAAGAAGAGAGAGAGAGAGACACTGAGATGAAGCATTCAAATCTTGGTTTATTTCCGAGGTTGGAATGATTACTTTGTCCTTGTTACGGAATGGCCCGGCTGTAAAAGGCTCGGGCCGTTGTCTTGCCCGTCAATGGCGCAACAAAGAACTCATGAATTTGAGCCGTAGAGCTATGCATCAGGCTCATCATGATACTCAACTACACAACATTCGAAATATTGGTATTATAGCTCATGTTGATGCTGTAAGTAAGAAACCAGAGATCACTTAATGACGAGCTCTCATAATTTACAGGGTAAAACTACTACTACGGAGCGAATGCTCTATTATAGTGGTGTCACGCAACGTGTTGGAGGTACGCAAATCTATATCTCAGACTCACTGACCAAATACACTAACAAAATGTAGACGTCGACTCTGGAAATACAGTGACTGACTTCCTCGACTTGGAGCGAGAAAGGGGCATCACCATTCAATCAGCAGCCATCACATTCCACTGGCCCAGACACCAAGCACTCGCACCAGGAGAACACGCAAAGACAATCAACCTCATCGACACTCCCGGGCATCAAGACTTTCGTTTCGAAGTTGACCGTTGTCTGCCCATTCTCGATGGCGCAGTCTGTATCATCGACTCAGTCAAAGGCGTTGAAGCTCACACAGAAAGAGTGTGGGGATCTGCTCATGAGTTCAAAGTCCCCCGTATAGTGTACTGCAACAAACTGGATCGAGAGGGTGCTTCGTTCAAAAAAGCCGTGCTTGAGATTGGTACGCGTCTGAAGGGATGGCCGCTTGTCTGCCAGATCCCTTGGTGGGAGAAGGAGGATTTTGTTGGTGTTATTGATATTGTCAACAGAGTCGGATACCGATGGAAGTCAGAACGTGAAAAGAAGCGATACAATACCGAGGAGCTGAAGGAGAAACTTTCAAGCTCAAACAAAGATCTTTTACCAGAAATTGAGACTGCGAGACAGGCTTTGGTTGAGGGTCTTGCGGATTTTGATGAGGCTATCATGGATGAGTTTCTGGCTGAGAACGAAAACATCGATGGTGCTTTGATAAAAGAGGCTATTAGACGAGTCATCAGAAGCGGTGATGGTCGGGTCATTCCAGTATTCGCTGGCTCAAGTTTCCGGCATATCGGTGTAGAGCCACTGATGGACGCTATCACAGATTATCTACCAAGCCCAGACGAACGTCCATCAGCAGAAGTCCGAGTCGGTTCAGCAAAGCATCGCTTGACAGAAGTTCTCGAAAACAGCCCCAAGTCCGCGAGGAATCAGGTTGCGTCTATTTCTTCGGTCTTCAAGGTCTTCAATCATCCCAAGGAGGGTGTCATCAGCTTCGTGCGAGTCTACCACGGCACTCTTACCAGAAACGCATCAAGTTTCAACACCAACATTCTAACACACGAAAAGCCAATGGGCATTCTTCAGATCGCTGCCAATAAGACACAGGATATTCAGTCGCTTGGTGTCGGACAGATTGGAGCTTTGAGAGGATTGAAGAAAGCCCGTACGGGTGATACGCTTGTTACGATGAATGCCAACAAGCCCATTCCTGAGAACTTCCGCCATGTCAAGATTCGACCTCCTGAGATCCCACCGCCCGTGGCGTTCCTTCAAGTTGAACCATACGGTAACGTTGCTGCTCAACAGCTCCAAATCGCTTTAGAAAACACTACACGAGAAGATCCAAGTCTACGGTACAGCCGAGATCCCAAAACAGAGCAGTTCACAATTCAGGGTATGGGAAAGCTTCATCTCGATGTGTCACTATACAACATGAAGCAAAAGTACAAGATCGATGCCGACTTCGGTCCTATCGAAGTTGACTACAAGGAATGCGTCACAGAGCCTACACGGCCACAACACACAGTCTTTGACCGTCCCGTTGCCGGCAAACCAGGTAAAGCCTCCTGCACCGTTGTCCTCTCGCCGCTTGAAGGCCATCATCACGACACTTTATTAGAGTCTTGTGTCGAGCGAGACGGTAACATATACCACGTCGCTATTCCCTTGACAGATGAGACTAGCACTCTCGACTTTGACCCAGAAGAGGCGAGGGCACAGCTTCTCAACGGAGCTATCGCAGGTCTGGCGAGGGGTCCTCGTCGTGCAGCGCCCATTCACGGGTGCCACGTTACCATCACACTGGACACAGAACCCGGCGCCTGTGAAACTCCCACGGGAGGACATTTCAGCACTGCCGCTAGGACTGCCGTCCAGGCTGCTCTTCGCGATGCTTTCGAGAAAGAGAAGATCGGCATTCTTGAACCTATCATGCATGTTACCATTACATGTCCAGAGGTTGTAGCCGGTACCGTACAGCATGATGTCACTGCTGGTGCTGGTGGTCAGGTTCTTGAGGTCAACGATCGATCTGCTGAGTCGACTGGAGAGGATCATATTGATGTGTCCAAGATTTACACCCCTCCTGATCCGTATGATTCTATCACTTCTCTACGTGGTAAGAAGTCTTCAGCTAGAGTTGTTGAGATTATTGCCAAGGTCCCGTACAAGGAGATGCTGGACTATGATAACCATTTAAGAAGCAAGACTGCGGGACGGCACTCGATGACTATGTCCTTTGACTCTTTCGCCAAGGTCGTTGGTCATCGCGAAAAGGGTCTGTAAGGGGGTGAAGTCAAGAGCATGGTGGAGGATTTGTATCACGATGTATGGAAACTAGATGAAAGAGAAACTTGTATAATATGTACCAAATGCTATCTATGAACAAACAAAATGCCGGGTCCTATCAACGTCTACTGCGTAGAGCTAGGGTATTGCCGTCTATGCTACTGAACTCAAGAATAACGCCAGGGGAAGAAACATCGCTCACATGCTCATTCCATGCTATGACTTGAAGAAAGATAAGGAAGAATCCATCTTAGATGGATCGCTTCTTGAGGCCGCAGGTCTCGAGGCACTTGTCAACACCCAGAGCAATGCTCTTAGGAACAGCCTGGCGGACCTTGTCGATATCCTCACCGGCGATGCTCTGGCCAAATGTGGCAGCAATGACATCGTCGCTCAGAGACACAAGCTCATCAGCGATCTGACCAGTGCCAAAGTCCTCAGTTGCAAAGGTGGCGATGAAGGTAGCGGGTTCGCAGTCGGGGTTGAACTGAGTATGGATAGAGCCTTGGTAGAAGGGAGTCATCATGTTGGCTGTAAGCTCGGTGCGGATAACACGACGCTTGCCATCCTTGTCGAGGACGCCGTTCTCAGGGACCATCTCGGTGATGAGACGGCCGGAGGTGACGACTTGGAGTTCGGCGGAGCGAGGGTGAACGTGAAGAGTGTTCATGCCACAGGCTGATAACATGTTAGTGCTGTTGTATCGAGATGATATAAGAGAAACTCACGATCGATTCTGCCAAAGGCCATACCAGCACCAGTGCCAACAAGAGCAGGGAAGTTGGCACGGTTAGCAGCGATGAGCTCGCCGCCCTTTCCAGGGTTATCCTGCTTCTTGTTGAAGTCAAAGACAAAGTCATCGTCCTCGGGGAGGAGAGCAAAGCGGTCAGCGGCACTGAAGATATGTTAGTCATGTGGTCTTGGCCAAGTCATCATCTTTGGGGGCTGCTTACGTATCAGCAAGTCGAAGCTGGGCAGTCAGACTGAGAGGCTTGCTAGAGTCTCCTCGGCGGGTGTTGCGAGGAGCTGCCTCGGCGAAGGAGGTGAAGGCCAGGACGGCAGAGACGAGAGCAGTGGTGAACTTCATTGTGAAGGATGTTGAGATGTTGAAGGATAGAGTTTGAAGGGGAAAGTGAGATGAGATGAGACGAGATGATGAGACTGTTGTGAATGTAAGACTTGTAATGCTTGAGTGATGCTATGAATGATATCTCCAAACTCGACCGGACACCACCATCTTCTTATACCCATATTCTCATCTCCAAATAACCACATGAACCCAGGCACAAGACTCACGATGCTGAGCTGTGCTGAGCTGTCAGACCAAGGCCCAGGCCAGGAACAAGACAGCCTCAGAGGCTCTGCATAGTCAAGTCAAAAATAGTCAACATCCTACGGAAGATGGCATATCCGTCTTGTTTACCAGCCTCATCCTAGCGGCCTTGGTGCTGAGCGAGTGTCGCTGATTGGTGGTTTGCCGCTATTTCGAGGGTTCGTGGGCTGTGCAAGCGACGCCAACGCGCAGTAATCGCCGACCCCCTCCCTTTCTCCTCCAAAAATAATCGAGTAAGCGCTTCTGCGATGAGGGATGGATTCCTGTCAGCACCAACGGCATTTTAATTCTCACGGAGACTGAATGATCCGGTGAAAGTGTCGAATGAGATGGGTTTGTTGGATTTGTTGGCCAGGTTTCCCCGGGTTGAGTGAGGAATAAACTGGGGTTTTCTGCGTTATAATTATCATCGGCCTCTATTATGGGCTACGTGTGTAAGCACAGCCGATTTAGAGATGTTTTGTTTCTTGTCTAGAATGAGAGGAAACATCCCCACTGTTTGTAAACATTTCGCTTATCTTTCTTTGGTTTGTGGTTCTCACAGATTCCAGCACTGTCAGCATATCGTTCAGA